ACACACACACACACACACACACACACGCACGCACAATCTACACACACACACACACACGCACACACACACACAATCTACACACACACACACACACACACACACACACACACACACACACACACACACACACACACACACACACAATCTACATGCACACACAATCTACGCACACACACGCACGCACACACAATCCACACACACACACACAGTGTGTGGTCAGCAAAAGTGATTTGCCTTGTTGACAAACTTGGACACGTTGACCTTGCGCTTGACTTCGCAGCCAGGGCTGCCACTGAGGATGAGAAAGCCAATGTTGCGTGCCTCGGTCACCACAAACTCCTTCTTGCAGTTGCCAATGTACACGGCGTTTGTGTCGACAAACGACACGGTGCCAGAGCACTCTTTGAGGTTCATGCTGTCTGCCTTGATGGTCTCGCCCGTGAACTTGAAGCCAATTGCCTCCAACTCCTTCAAGTGCTGCAGTTGCGAAAGACCCGACAGTGTTGCGGCCGTGTCGTAATCAGCCACCAGCTTGAGCTTGCGCACACTGCGAAGCGGAGACACGTCGCCGGAAAATCCTTCCAGCTCCACCTCGTGCACGTGCTGCATGTTGGCGAGGACAGTGCTTGCCGCCAGCATCTCGCTGCTGAGGCGGCCGAACCATTCGGGGCGCTGCTGCGCCATCACCATCATTGCCATGCGGCCCGTTTTCGCCTGCTTGACGTTGGGCGGCAGTTCGGTCCTGATCATGTTTGCATCAGGGATGGTTGCGTACACGTCACACGCCGGCGCCAGCTGCGTCAGCGCGTCCACCTTCGCCTGCGCCTCAATGGTCACATACAGGCGGTCGCACTGGCGGCTGGCACTCACAAGCTGCTGACGAGAGGGGTTGCGGTGGCGCAGGTCATGGACGCGCACGTGCTTGAGCCGTGGCTTGCGACGGAGATGGCTGCAATAATGTACGTCGTAGTAGTCGAGCTCTCTCGGCCAGCTGCCCTCTGTCAGCTCGAAGAGGCCTCCAAGGTCAATGTGCTTGGCCTTTGGCGCGTGGAGGGCAGTGATGCCTCCCACGCCACGCAGGCAGATGAACTCTGCGTTGGGGAACGTCAGCGTGTCTTGGAGCGAGTCCACATCACCGCCGATGACGTCGAGCTTTTTCACGTGCTGCAGCGCTGAAAGGTCCGCAACCTCGTCCGACTCAAACAGCCGCACCTCCTCTGTGTCGCAGAGCGAGGCAACGTCGTTGAGGATGCTCCACTGCATGCTGAACGCACGCACGCCGCGGAGGCCACTCAGGTCTTCGAGCGTGGCGTGGTAGAAGGACACCTTGCCCACATTGTGCGAGCTGCCCGTGATGTTGAAGGTTGCGCTGTCGTTGTCAAACAGGATGCTGTCGATGTTGCGGAAGGTCACGTTGGTCAGCTCACCTGGGCACGAAAGGCGGAGGTCTCCAATGTTCTCCAAGCACATGCCCTTGCACACCTCGGCAGAGTACATGGTGAGGTCCAAGTGCTGGCACTTTTGGGCGCCGAGTTCACGAACGAGCTCAGACCACGCCTGCAGCGGCTGTTTGCTCTTGACAGTGATGCCATTCTGCAGGGAAAACTCACTTAGGCGCAAACAAGGCGTTGCTGCTGTCGTCGTCGTTGCTGTTGCAGAGGCTGAAGTTGCGGTGCTTGCTGGATTTGTGGTGCTTGCTGGATTGGTGGTGCTTGTGGTTGTTGCTGCTGCTGCTGTTGCAGTCGCTGCAGTAGAAGCTGGAGCTGCGCTGGTGACTGGTGCTTGAGGCTCAGTGGCTGGAGCTGTCGTGGCTGCAGGTGTTGTAGTGGCGGTGGTTGATGTGGCTGATGTTGTGGCTGCAGGTGTGGCTGATGTGGTGCTTGCAGGTGTTTCAGTGGTGGTTGCACTTGCAGGCGTTGTCTTCGCTGCGCCTGTTGCTGTGCTTGTCGTTGCTGTGCTTGTTGCTGTTGCTGAATCCGGGGTGCCTTGCACCCAAAGCATCATCTGACGCATGTCCCTGAACACGACCTGCCCATACCGTGAGAACGTGTCCCGAAACAGCGGCGTGCGTGCCTGGGCATCGAGGAAGCGGCACGTGCTGTGCCACTGCACACCGAGCCACGTGTAGACGAGGAACCGCTGCTCCAGCCAAGCCGCGTCGCCAATGTCGCCGGGGCCACCACGGAAGGTGTCGAGCCACACGGAGACGAAGCTCATCTTGCAGTTGCGCAGGCACCATTTTGGGAGCGCCTCTGGCAGCGCGGTGTACAGGTGCTTGCAAGAGAACATGAGGCTGCGCACGGTGCGGATGGCCGTGACCTCCGCAATGGGGAAGTTGTCGATGTCCACGTAGCGGCGCCAGTCCTGTTCGCTCTCCTTCTCCTCGAACCTCTCCTGCTTCACCTTATCCAGCCTGTCCACCTCATCCAACAGCACCTGCACCACAAGCGCCCACGCACCGGCATCGTTGTTCATCTTGGCTGTTGGTGGTGTGGGTGGTTGATCGTTGAACGGTTTGGGGGTTGTTCGAAATGGTGGCGCCAAATGGGCCCGTCACACACAACCACTTGCACATTTTTTTTATTGTCATACATAATTGTTTTTGTGAACCTTGATTCCATGCACTTTCAACACACGGCTGTGTGAAATGGCGTGGAGCAGAAGACAGCAAACAAACAACAACAAGACGACTGCCAGACGCTGCCGCTGCTGCTGCTGCTCAACAGCTACAGCATTCACACACGAACGTGGAACAGCTTGAGTGGAGTTGTGAAGGCTTCGACGAGGAGACGAGGAGAAGGAGAAGGAGCACAACAACGACGACGACGACGACAATGGCGAGGAGAGGAAAGGCAGCCCGAGCTGCTTTCCTTGCTTTGCTTGCGCTGCTGGCACTTTCTGCCGCGCCAGCACACCCACAAACCCTCAACACAAGACGTGCGTCTGCTGTGTTTGTGTTTGTGTGTTTATGCTGCCGCAGGTGCTTTTGTTTGTGTGTTGGTGTTTGTGTGTTTATGCTGCAGCAGGTACTTTTGTGAGTGTTCTTTTGTTTGTGTGTTTGTGGTTGCATCCTGACAGTGCCACAAGTGCGTGTGTTTGTTCTCTTGTCCGCACGCCCACTTTCAAGACACATTATATGTGCACTCACTTTCACACTCACCCAAATCCTCTCCCCCTCTCCCTCACACACACACACACACACACACACACACAGCGTGCCGAAACGATGGCGGGTCTGACATCTGCCGCTGCTCAGACACGATTGTGAACTGCGATTTCACATCTTACACGCGTATTCCGTTTGGCCTTCCCGAGGACGTGACATCCTTGTCCATGTACTCGTCCCAGGTCAAGGCCGTCAGTTACTCGTCGTTCACCACGCCGTTCATCCTCGATGAGATTGTCACGCTCAACCTCCGTGGCAATGTCATCACGTCCATCACCAGCTCGGGCCTGTCAGTGCTCACGCGGCTGCAGACGCTCAACCTCGCCGACAACTCCCTCGCAGACCTCCCCAACGAGGCGTTTGCAAGTCAAACGCAGCTGCGCGTCCTCAACCTTGCCGACAACAACCTGCTCAGCCTGCGCGCGGACGTGTTCAGCACGCTCACTTCCCTTGAAGAGCTCTATCTCCAAGGCAACCGCCTCACCTCCCTGCCCCGAAACGTGTTCTCAAGCCTGGAGAACCTCCGCATGTGCGTACTGGGGGCGTTTGTTTGCTTGCTTGTACATATGTGTGTGTGCGTGTGGGTGGGTGTGGGTGTGCATGTGTGTGTGTGTGTTTGTGTGTGTGTGTGTGTGTGTGTGTGTGTGTGTGCGTGTGTTTGTCGCGTCTGGGATGTGCTTGTCATGCGTGGCAGGAGCGTCTCTTGCGTGCACTCATGCTGACGTCTGTTCTCGTTTTGCACACCCCACCACCCCTTGTCCGCTGCTTGCGTTGCAGTCTCCGCCTGGACGGCAACTCGCTGACCACCATCGACGACGGCGTGTTTGACGCGCTCACCCAACTTGAGCAGCTGTACGTCCGCAACACACACACACACTCATGGGGCGACCGTTGTGGTGGCTGTGTTGCTGCGATTGCTGCTGTTGGTGGTCTTGTCCCCGCACGCTGAAATACACACACAGACACATGGTTTAATGCATGATTGTGTGTGCGTGTTTGTGTGTGTTTGGTGCCTCACCACTTTTCCGCTCGTATGATTGGTTTGTCAATCTTGCAGCCATCTTGCCGTGAACAGCATTCACACGATCAACCCAGGCACCTTTGACAACCTCGCTTCCCTCAGCAAGCTGTGAGTCGCACACAACCATGATGATGATGATGATGATGATGATGATGATGATGATGATGATGATGATGATGATGATGATGATGATGATGATGATGATGATGATGAGAAGAAGAAGAGCGGTGGTGGTGCTCATGGATGCGGTGGTGGTGGTGCGCGCTCAATGTATCTTCGCTCAACCCCATCAACACCACCACCACCATCCCACCGCCACCACTGCAACCAGGTACATGCTCGGCAACCCGTCCTCGTGCGAGATCACGGGCGGAAATGTCGAGTGTCTCTGCAACTTTGGATACGGCAGCGACGACGGCACATACTGCACGCGTACGCCCCCAATACACATGCGCGCCTCTGTGTGTGCGTGTGCGTGTGTGTGTGTGTATGTCTGTGTGCGTGTGCGTATGTGTGTGTGTATGTCTGTATGTGTGTGCGTATGTCTGTGTGCATCATGGTTCACCTCATGACTTGGTTGATCCACACCACTCTCGCCTCCATCCCATTCTCACACCACCACACCACCATGTCACGAACTGATTGACGACACAGCGAAAGACTGCGGACCAACCATTCCCGACCTGAATCCGCTGGCGACGGCAGATTGCAGCGCTTCCACCATCTACGGCGGGCAGCCGTGAGTATTCATTCATCCACCCATTGTTGTTGCTGTTGTCGTCGTTGTCGTCGTTGTCGTCGTCGTTGTGGTTGAAATGCCTTCTTCGTGTTGCCTCATTGTCACACGAACAAGTTCCCCCCCCCACGTGTCCTTTCTCACCACCATCAACACATACACAAAACACACACACACAACAACAACAACGACAACCTTCATCGTCATCACCATCACGTTACCACTGCCTGCAGATGCGTTGCGTCGTGCAATCCTGGCTACAGCGACAACACGGCCGAGTTTGTGTGCAGCGCTGACGGCGAGTGGGTCGGCTCCATCGACTGCCCAGGTGCGGCCACCACGTGCACGTGTATGTGTGCGTGTGAATGTCTGTGTGCATGTGTGTGTGTGTGTGTGCTCATCATCATCATCATCATCATCATCATCATCATCATCATCATCACCATCACCACCATCATCATCATCATCATCATCATCATCATCATCATCATCATCACCATCAGCGGTTGACTGCGGCACGATTGTGCCGAATCTGCCCGCCAACGCCGTGGCCAACTGTGATGGCGACACCCGCTTCAACGGCGACCCCTGCATGGTGCACATTGTTTTTTGTGTATGTGTGTCTGTGTGTGTATCTGTGCGGAAATGTGTATCTGTACGTGTGTGTGTGTGTGTCTGTGTGTATCTGTGCGCGTGCGTGTGTGTGTGCGCGTGTGTGTGTCTGTGTGTGTCTGTGTATGTGTGTCTGTGTGTCTGCATGTGCTCACATGTGTGTTACATGTGTGTAAATGTGTGTAAATGTGTGCCGCGTGCATGACGTTGTACTCACCCTCACCCGGTACCATCACGATCATCACCACCATCACCACCACCATCACCACCATCACCACCACCACCACCACCACCATTATCACCACCAACACCAGGTGTCGTGCGAAACCGGGTACAGCATCTTCAACTCGCGAGATGACGCTGTGCCGATCACGTGCGGCGCTGACGGCGAATGGGCTGGCCAGCAGCAGATCATCTGCCTCCGTACGTGGCGTGTAGGGCGAGGTGGAGTGAGGGGGATGGTGGTGTTGCTGCTAAGGGAAGGGAAGCGGGGTTTACACGCACACACACACACGCACGCACGCACGCACACACACACACACACACACACACACACACACACACACACACACACACACACACACACGCACACGCACACACACACACACCTTGGTGAGGTCGTCGTGTGAGGCTTCAAGATTTGGAGCGTTGTCGGCGAAAACGGCATTTGCGTACATGTACGAGAGCTCACCGGCCTTCCACAAGAGGATATCAAACACCTCACGCCCCAATATCGCTTCCATCGACTGCACGACGCTGTTGAAGTCCTGTATCCACACAGGCAAGGCAGATCAGACGTGAATGTGAGAAGCGGTGCATCAGTCCAACTTGATTCATTGCCTCTTCTTCTCACGCAAACAACAACCACAACCACCATGCCAGCTACTTAAAGTTCAGATTGACGATGAGAGAGGTGTGGGTGTCCTTACATCGTCATCCGTGTGGCACACGTCCAAAATTTGTTGAATACATGTGTTCAGTGTGTCGAACACAGACTGCACGCGGTCAAAGGGTCCCGCAAACGAATCTGCCAGCAACACTTGCTCTTTGTCAAAGCACCGATCCAGCACCGCCTGCACACACGAGTGTGTATGTATTCATGTGTGTGTGTGTATTTATGTGCGTGTGTGTATTTATGTGTGTGTGTGTGTGTGTGTGTGTATGTATTCATGTGTGTGTGTGTGTGTGTGTGTGTGTGTGTGTGTGTGTGTGTGTGTAGTGCTGGTGTGTGTGTGTGTGTGTGTGTGTGTGTGTGTGTGTGTAGTGCTGGTGCCCTTCGCATCTGCAGTCAGGAGCACAACTGCTCGATTCACTGGCGGCTGTGCCGCCACCACGCCATTCGACACACACGCATATGCGCGTGACGCTGCCTATACCTGCGCATACAATTCTGCCCATGGCGATGGCCGTTGCGTGCTGTCCCCATCTCTGAAGAGCAGTAGTAGTTGTTGTTGTCAGTGTTGTTGGTGTTGCCGTGCATGAGACGAGAAGGATCGAGAGCGCAAGTTCAGCTAACGACATGGAATGGTATGCACGGGACGTCACACGTGACAAAAGAGGCACGATGCGATTGCTTGTTGGATTACCTTGCGTGAGCTCGAGCGCGTTCCAGTGCGACTCTCGCACGCCCTTGCAGCTCTTCAAAACAACAAAGCAACAAACACATAAGCGCACATCAAACAATCGAGAGCCCACAACGAAGCAGGAACACACATGCACACGCACGCAGGAAAACACACACACAAGAACACACACACAGGTACATACACACGCACACGCACAGGAACACACACATACACGCCAACCAGCCAACCACACCTTTGTCTGCGAACAAGGCTTGGTGAGCTTCCTCAACGTCCAACAGCTGCTCCATCATCATCAGTATCTGTCGTGTCAGCGAAAGTCGTGAAGATTTGTGGACGATTTCATGTGAATTTCAGCAAGTTCACGGCCAATTGCGCACTCACTTAAGGTCACTCGCAACTCCAACAACAACGTGCTCTTCGTGCGTGTGTGTGTGTGTGTGTGTCACCCTCCAGCATCACGTCCACTTACGTGCATCCGCCCACACGCACAGAGCACACAGAGCACAGAGCAGAGCACACACAGAGCACAAGACACAAACACTTCCATCATTCCCCCTTACAGCTGTATGAAGCCCTTGTTACCGTTACTGGCACGCTTTACCCGCTCGCGTGCACACCCAAAACCACTGTGGTGTGCACAAACAGCAACGT